AGAAGCCAACTTGCACATCAAATCGCCAAGGACGAAGACGCTTCAAACCAAGAAACCAACTTGAAGAACCGGTGGTTCTCGTCAGAAAGATCGATCTCCCCCTCTATGGACCAGTTCAGAACGTCAAATCAACAAACTGACTTTGGACAACAACCAAATATCCTTGCTCAGTCATCATCACTTAAGACCTCTTCTGCTCCTATAAATAGAGAGCTTCCAGCACAGAAGAAGGGGACTCTCTCTCCAAAAACCAGACGCAACGTCTTAAAAAAAGCACTCAAGGCATTCCAGTCATCTCGTTCAGACTTCAGATAGCCAGACGATCTTTGTGTCCATCTTTTTATTTCTCTGCCATTTCCATGGTATGATTAACTTCTGAAAATGTTCAATTTGAATTTGTATAATTTAGCCGGCTATGAACCTTAGATCACCATGATAATGTACTTATTAGTTTGGAATTAATAAGCATGGATCTCTGTTGTTTCTGTCATTAATTTAAGAACTAAGTAAATGAGAATGATGGAACCCATATCTAAAGAGCTTTGTTCTGCTTATGTTTGCTTCCATTTCCATATATGTAATATTTAAGCCATTTCCCGCTTTTCTTTTATTTAAACTATAACATCACGAAAGGTTTTTAGCCCGAATCGGGCCGCATAGGCTTGAGGGATACAAACCAGTTGGGCCCGAAAGTCATATAGTTGGGCCCGAAATTGTGGTTAAATTATGTATATAAATTTAAATTCAGACTTAGGTTCGTAAACCCGCGTGAGGTGTTTGCTGACCAATAACTTTGTCTTTTTCCCTTGCTTGGATAGGTGTTGCTCGCACCAACCATAGCCGACATATACACGAGAGAAAGAATTGTGAAGTCCTTTTAACTGGGGCATAGAAAAGAACCAAACCAGGCCAGTACCCCACCTGGTGCACAATGGCTTGAATAGAGGTTCAGGAAGAAGGCGCAGACTCCACAAAATATTAACCACGCTCGCTCATACCAGGTCTGTTGGACTGATCATATATCCAACAGTGGCACGCCTATAAAGCAGAACCCATGAATCAGAAGAATTTCAGAGGTTAGGCCCAAGACAGGGCTGGACTGGATTTCTTATCAACCTGATTCAACTTTCAATTTCGTTGAATATTGAAATAACATCTGCGTGGGCCAAAAAGGAAACAATCGGGGCATTGGTTTAGGTCTAACAGCTCCTGTATTCTTTCGAGAACGCCTACTACGACATTGGGCGAAAAGAATACTTGACAGGAAAAGAGATCCAACATATTTTTGGCACGCCCGGTGGGACTTTCACTCGTGTATGGTGAGAAGGACCAGAAGGAAAGTCTACATGGCAGAGTCCACCCAAGCCACTGACGAAAGAAACAAAGGGATCGTGGAAACAGAGTCAATGGAATCTTCCACAGAATACCCCTTTGAACGGTTGGAAAAGGCCATGAGAGAAGGTTTTTAGACGATGACCACTTCTATGACCAATTCCATGAATCACATGTCCCAGAGCATTGTCCAGACCGTTGAGAAAGGACATGAGAACACAACTCTACAAGGAAACGAGACTAGGGCTCACCTGAGTCAAATCTTCGAACGAATCATACGAATGGCGCAGGAAGAGGACGCGCCCAGGAAAGGAAAAGGGCTCCTCGAAAATGAGAATACCTCCTCAGGGGTTCCAAAGTATTCTCTGGGCCAAACAAGCGGCCATGCTAACTCAACGTCTCCCAAAATGGTGATAGGAAGTTCTGGTGGAGCACCTTTCCAAGTTGCTAACACAGGCACTCCAGACATGATGCTCGCTGGTCCAATCGTTACGCAAGCAAGCAGTCCATCTAAGGAACCGGGAGGTCAGCGGTTCACACCTTCTGGAACCTCTTCCAAATATCAAGCACCAAGGACTGGCGAGGCCGCCTTACCACCAGGACCCATCCGAAAGAATATGTACGCCGAGAAATGGAGAGAACCTGCAGGGTTCAACGTCCAGGTTGCCCACAACAACGGTAATAACGGGGGTAATGGACGAGCTAGGCGGGATTATGCAAGGACAGCTGAGCAGTCTCAAGATTTTGACGACGAGGATGAGGCAGGTCAGAACCCTCAGGCCGCTATCGAACCACCTCCGGCACTCCATCCGGACGAGGCCATACGAAATGAGATAGAGGGGCTAAGGCAGCTCGTTTATAATGGTCAGGCCGGAATCAGAAGGGCGGCTCGACCCACATACCAGAAGCCATATCCTGCATACATCGATGATTTACCCTTCCCAAGGGGGTTCAAGGTGCCAAATTTCAGCTTATTCAACGGAGAAGATTTGTACGCATCAGCATTGGAACACATTGGGCGCTTCTCGGCCCAATGCGTTGCCATTGAAACCCAACTTCTTCTGAAACTGAGATTGTTCGGAAGCTCCCTCTCGGGCCAAGCATTCACATGGTATTCAAATCTAAGCCCAAATTCTATTACAGGATGGGCGAAAATGGAAGGAGCCTTCATGGAGCAATATTATCGGCCCGAACCCGAGGTCACTATCAATGACCTGACGGATATGAAGCAGGGGGAGCATGAAACGGTACAAGATTTCATCGCCCGTTCTAAGAAGCTCAAGATGAAATGCAAAATCCCCATGGATGAGAAACACTTCATCAAGATGGCCCAGAATGCTCTCAGGCTATCCCTTCGGAAAAAATTCGACGATCAGGAGTTTATGGACTTACAAGACGTGGCTCAGCGGGCTGGGAAATATGAACTGTTGCTCCAGGAAGAAGCGCAAAGAAGAAACAGTTCTAAGCCCGTCTACTTCAAAAACCCAGTCCATCATCTGGAAGTCATCAACGAATTTGCTGAAGCCAACGAGGAAAGCGTCGGTCCGGAAGTGTCACTCGCAGAGATCTTTCAAATAAAGAATCCAATCACCTGCAAGGCGGTGATGAGACCGGGAAAAGAACATCGAAGTAACCCTCCACCGACCGGAGGTTTCGTACCCTACAAGCAAAAACATAAATCATATTCCTTCAATCTCTCCAAAGCGGAAAATATCTTTGATGAGCTGCTCAGAGGGAAGGTGATCAAGCTGGACGAGAAACACGTATTCCCAAAACAAGAAGAAGTGAAAGGCAAATTGTTTTGTAAGTGGCATAA